GTGGCAGCTAAACAGTATTCCTGCAATTTCCCCAAGCCAAGATTTTTTTTTTCCATCTTTAATGCTGCAATTCCAGGACTTGGCGCCATTACTCTATTTGTATTAATGCACAGTGGCAGATTTTGCAACACATGACAAAGTAAGAATATTTTATATGGCTTACAAGCCAAGAAATAATGCAAATTTGGTTCATAAAAGTACTGTCAGCATATTGCGCCTGCCTCTTTGCCAGCACCAGTTTGCTCCCTCTCATATTTTATTATGTGTTTTTTAAAATTACTGCAGGAGGCTGCAGTAATTTCCTACAGGAGGAAATTCCACTTGCAGGTCATTACTGACTCTTAACAGACAGCTAGCTTTTTGGGGGAGTCCAAATGAGATCACATGAAATCACACAGCATTGCTTCTCCCTCATTTAATATTCCCCCAAAACCACCAGCCCTCATCCTGGGAACCCAAATCTTTGGCTAAAGGTTCATGGATCTGTTGGGGATGCTGCAAAGTCTCTCCCTCCCAATGTGATCTGGAGAAAACTGATGGATGTGTGGATTAAAGAACCCTTGAGCTACAGTCCTTGACCTGATAAAAACACAAGCAAAGGTTTCTCTCTGCAATATATTCATTAAAAAGATATGAGATGTAGGTGTTTTCTCAGCAGAAGTGTCATACCTTATGTGATACTATATACCTAAATGAGCTCTGTCCAGAGGGCAGATACAATTACATATAAATTACATCCATCCCCAAGGAGCCCTGCCTTGACTCCTTACCTACCTGTAACAGCCATCAGCCCATTCCACAGTGAATTACCACTCTGTGCACCACCTGAGTTGTGCCAGTGAGCTGGGAGGGCACTGCCCTGAGTTGAAGTCAGGAACATCTTTTAACTTGTCTAGAAAAGGTCACACACAGTGACCTTTTCTTCTGTTAGATTGTGCCTGGACCATAGGCTCATCAGAAAAAATTAACTACAACTATGCACAAAATTAAAAGAGAAGGTCTCAGCAAGCCATGACATTTTGCTGTGCTTGGAAGAGACGCTGCAATTCTTGTGCAGCTGGAAAGTGCTGAGATGGTTTTAATGGCATCTGCTGTCTCTTGATTGACAGAGCACAAGCATTTCAGAAATACAGGCAACAGCACTGCAGCCACACAGCACCAGACAGCATTACTTACTGACTGTGACCGAGCTCCTGCTATCAGTCACAAACTGCACATCCAACTCAGGGTTATTGTGATTTCATTTGAGAAATGTCCTCTTCTGGATGAAGAAGTATTAGCAGCTTCAGAAACACTGTCAGCTAATCAAAAAATATTAGAGAAGCTCTCCACAGCTTAGTGGTTTTTTTGTCACTTGCTCTAGATGTTAGGAATATGGGGAAATGAATAAATGTATTAATACGCAGCAGCCTGTCAGGAGCCCTTGGCATGCTCTGAGCCCGTGGACTGCATTTGCCAGTCAAATATGCCTGATACTCTCAGCAGTCCCTGACAGCGACCCATTCACATGGGAATCAACAACAAGTCTGCTTTTAAATGGTAATATCTGGCATTACCACAGAATCACAGAATCAGCTGAGCTGGAAGGGACACAAAAAATAATGCAGTCCAACTCCTGCCCCTGCACAGGACACCCCAGTTACCACATCCTGTGTCCAAAAGCATTGTCCAAATACTTCTTGAGCTCTGTCAGGCTGGTGCTGTGAACACTTCCCTCGGGAACCTGTTCAGTGCCCAGCCATGCTCTGGGTGATAAACCTTTTCCTGATATCCAACCTAAACCTGCCCTGACACCACTTCAGGCCATTCCCTCAGGTCCTGTCACTGTCACCAGAGTGAAGCAATCAGTGTCTGTCCCTCCTCTTCCCTTCAGAAGCAAGTTGTGGACTGCAAATTTCTACCTAAGCCATAAGTGGTATTTCATTTACAGGCCTGACACAAATGTGATGTTTATTTACCCCACATTTATGTTCCACGATGTGAGCAACACCCTGACTCTTCCTACAAAAAGCACTGCCTCTGCTTGCTAATTACATCCTGCTAAGTTCTGCTTGCTGCTACCCGGCTGGATGGAACATGCCTTTCTGGATTCAGAAAGACATACTTGTATTTTTGGACATAAACACACTGCTGGATTACAGGCTGGTTGGGAAGGGGGGCCAGGGTAGGAGCAGGAGGGGATGGAAAGGAGAAGGAAGGAAAGGAGAGAAAAGCACTGGTGAAAAAACCAAGGAAAACAGGAAATAAGTGAAAAAATATGAGGACTCCTTCTATCAATTTCTTCTTTTCCTTTCTTCTAAGGTTCTCTCATGCTTCTCTACCACCCCTATTGACTGACTGCTTCCTGCCTTCTCCCACTTCTCTTTTCTAATTCCTTTACACTGAAATTCCTCTACTAAGATACCCCTAAAACCAATGCCAATGCCAGAGCCTGCCCCAGCAAGGCAGGAGCTGTGGGCAGTGGGGTGATGCCCCTGCCAGCTGGAAGCCTCTCAAAGAGAGCTGCAATGCACTGCAGTGCTGCCTTCCCTTTATACACTAGGGAAAGCCAGGCAAAGGTGGATGCTCCTGTGGAAATGATTTGTGGATATCAAAAGGGAAGAGTTTGGCATCAAAACAAAGAAAAGCAACAACATGCCAGGAAATTGTTTTGTATAAAAATGAACAAATCTCTCCCATACAAAAAGGGACGCATGTCTAAATGGAAATCTCTGTGCTTTGGTGTCTCAAACAGAGCAGCTGGGTGGTGAGAATTTAGGAAGCATTTTTAAAGCAAAAAAAATGTGGTTCAGGAAAAAGTAAAACAATATCCAATATACTTCTGTTGACATTGATATCACAAATCAACAATAAGCCACTGTAGACCAGGGAAGAAGACAAATTCAATAAGAAACAGCCCCCTAGAATGTGCAGTATATCAGACTTTGCTCTCATCTGCTTCCTTCTGGCACTCGAGGCTTGTGGCACTGCCTAGCACCACTGCATGTCAAGCACTGCAGTTCTGCCTGGAGAGGAAAATCCTTTGGCGTGAAGCACAGCTCCCATCCTGCTCACAATCACACCTGTGTGAAAACAAGGTGCTGGATTTATTCCAGCAAGGGTGAAGGATACAAGAAATCCATTTTTAAGATACAATTGATTTGAAAAAGGCAAAAGATCTCATCACAGAAATCAAAACAGTGTACACTAAATGATATATGGATATGTACTTCACCTTCTGATGTGTTCCCAAAGATATCTCACTTTGCTGCAAGCTGTATCAATGCATAAAGTCAGAGCACTTAAAAAGTGTAACAGCCTTAAGACTGATTCATGCGATCAATCAAAAGCTTATCCATTTTAGGAAAATTGCCAGTCATAAAATTTAATCCACGAACTTGTATATTTAGTGATCCTTGAGTAATGCCTGATACACAAAACTAAATTTTTCAGTAGCACTTTTTCAACTATTTAATACAATTTCTTGCAGGTTTTATTGCATTACAGTATGTTCATTGCTTTTGATCTTCAGTGGCAATGTAAGATATATATATCTATAAATATATCTTTACATGGACACCACCAAGAGATTTTCTTTGGACAGTAACTTTTTGCTGTTATTCTGTTGGTTCCTATTAGATTCACATGAACATACATATTTAGTACTTTGTTATCATTGCATCTTTTTAATGTTAATTGTTCAGCAAGAACAAATCACATTTAGGCTAACTTTGCCTTTTGCTATTCCTACAAGAACTATGGGAAGAATTATCTTTAATTGTCTGTGAAGCATCACATACCCTTACAACAGTCAGCACGTAACAAACCAAATTTTGAGATTCCTTCAAAGCTCAAAATATTTTCTTTAAGTTCCACATCACTATATTGATGCACAGCAGTCCTGAGAGACACATCTTTACAATGTATAGGTTGATCCTGTTTTCTTGTTTCTCCATCTCAGAAAGAGGTTAGAGCTCGGTGCCTCAACAAATTTAAGTGCACCTCAGTTACTTACTTAATGCATTTTGCAATAGAAAATCTGGCAGATACATGAAAAATCAAGTTTCTGCAGTGGCCAAAATCATCATTTTCTGGCATCTTACTCAGTTCTGAAGTCAATTCCTATGGAGCTTAATCTTCTTGAATAGAAGTTCAGTACAGGCTTCTATATTTGACCCAATAATATTTAAAAAAATAAAATAGTCAAACCTCTCTTCAAGGCAATTTGACATCACAGTGTCTTCGATTCTCCGTTGCCCAGCATCTGATTTAGTCACTAGACAAATGAAAGAAAATGAGTGTTCAGAAACACTATGGACTAAATGGTCCACATGACACTCTAAGGTCCTTTAGCTTCTCCACCACTGCTCGAAACAGAGCAGAGCTAGCTGGCTGCTTAAGAAATCCCTGGAGAGGAGGGGAATGCACAGAGCTGCGGGACTCTGCCAAGCAATGAGCACTGCTCCAGCACATGGCACACACCAGGAAAGCTGCCACCACCAGCAGATGAGCTTTAGAAAAACGAGCTGAAATAGTTCCAATACAGATGCCCAGGTGCAATTCCCACCCTAGGTCCCTGATGGGCAGCACATGGCAGAGAAGAGGATGCCCCACATCTCCACTGCTCGGCACTTCAGCCCTGGACAGAGACCCAGCACGGCGGCCGAGCTGCTGCTCCCACCACCGAGGCAGCAGCCCCCAGCAAGGGGCAGCTGGGCTGGCACTGGGCAGCAGGGACTTCCAAACACCACCACAGATGTTTGCTTCAGTGCCAGAAATCAAAGTCCCTGGGGAAGCCACCGAGGTGGCCTTAACCACAGCAGGATTCCCTCCAGGCACCAGAACTGCTCAGGGTCACACCAGCAGGAGAAGCGGCTAAATGGAATAAAAAGCTCCTATCCTGCTCAGACTTCATGCTGGGACTTATGACTAAAAACCTTTAGGACCTGATAGAGCTTGGCCATGGCTGGATCCTAGGAAAAATACAGGCACAATGGGAATGATTTATTTTAACAAACTAAAAATGTATTGTGCTTTTGGAAAGAAATTAATAAATATTATGCTTCCATGGAGTAAAAACAATATGTACCAATATATTTTCTGCCCCAACCTAGGAAATGGGTCCCCGACTCTAAAATTACACAAATTTGTTAGTGAACATAGTTTTACATGTACACAATTCCTTCATTTATCTAATGTATTTGCAGGTGAAAACTTCACTAACTTGTGCAATAGTTCTTACACGTTTTTAATGTATCTCTGCCAGAGGAGCAGCAAATTATAAAAGCAAATTCTGTGTAAGATATGAGACTGCTGCAGGGGAAAAAACAATGAACAAATCAAACAACAATACTCACAAATCAAAAAGACCCCACTTATCTCACATGTAAAACTCTGTAAAACTCTTTTCCCAGCTTTTTGTCCCCAAAAATGCATAACACTAGTTGTGTAAAAACTAAACCACTGTATGAGGCATATTTTAAAACCTCATATAAACAATTAAGCTTTTATGGCATCCTCAGAGCAAAGAATGTCCAAATATGGCTGAGATTTAAGTACCCTGAGAATCAACTGCTCTTAATGAATTCACTGAAGTTTGTCAGTCCACATTTACCAAGAATCAGAAGAGAAATAAAGAGAAGCAAACGTGATTCAACTCATTTTCCTGTACCATTCTCTAAAGATACTGTGTTATAAGCATCCTCCATATCTTGGATACTGGAGGCATCTGTTGACTCTTGGTCGCTGACTACAATTCCTACTGAAGAAAGGCTAGAAATGAAGGAGTGCATCTTTTTTGCATAAATATCCCTAATGTTAAAATAGGGTAGGTCATTGCTTTTCTCTTTGCGATCACTGTTGCACTGGTCTCTATCAATAGCTTTTTGCTTTTGGTAGTACTTAGAAAACTTATTGAAAATAATGGTGATTGGAAGTGCTACCACCAGAATCCCACAGATGATGCAGAGGGTGCCGAGCAGCTTTCCAGCAAGCGTGACCGGGTAAGTGTCCCCATAACCAACAGTGGTCATGCTGATGGTTGCCCACCACCAGCAAATAGGGATGCTCTGCAGCTCTGATGAGTCATCATCTTTCTCCACTGAGTAGACAAGCACTGAAAAAATAGAAATCCCAACTGACAGAAACAAAAGCAGAAGTCCAACTTCTTGGTAGCTGTGTCTCAGAGTGGCGCCCAAAGACCGCAGTCCTACGGAGTGCCTGGCCAGCTTCAGGATGCGAAATATCCTCATTAACCGCAGGATCTGAACCACCTTCCCCATGTTCTCAATATCTTCACTCTCTTCTTCCTTCGTGTCCACAGCCAGTGTGGCGTAAAATGGGATAATAGAGACAAAATCAATGATGTTCAGTGGTTTCTTCCAGAACTTCTTCTGACTTGGAGCAGTGAAGAGCCTGATCACTAGCTCAGCAGTAAACCAGATGATGCATGTAATCTCCACAGCTTCCAGCACAGGGTCTCCAATCTCCCTGTCATTGGCATCCAGCCTTTGAAATTCTGGCATGCTATGAATGCACATGGCTACAATTGATGCCAGAACAACACTCAGGGATGACACGGCAATTAGCTTGGCAGACAAGCAGTATGCAGGATTTTCCATCCTGACCCAGATCTTCTTTCTTATTTCACCAAAACACAGATTATCAAACTTTTCTAGCTCTTTGTCAAATATGGATGACTCTTCATTGGAGGAGTCCATACTGTCGTTGCTCTTCTGATCCCAGTCTTTTTCAGGACCTTCCTCTTTCCGTTCTTGGTACCGATTGCTGCAGCAGGAATCAATAAACAGCTCGTTTATCCCCCAGTACTCTATTTCCTGGCAGAAGGAAAAGACACAAAGTTCTTCCATAACGTGAAGTTTGCCTGTATAGTAGAAGTTCAGAACATATCGGAACAAGGAAGGATTCCTGTCAAAGTAATATTCCTTGTCTGCCACACTGTAATCATCACACAGTTCTAGAATAGCCTCTTCTGAATGGCATTTGAGAAGTTTTCCAAGTCTGGTATGGGGAAATCGGAGCAAGGTGCTTTGATCCACTGATTGCTTAAAGCCACCCACATTCAAATTGATAAGTTCTGCATCTTTGCCAGGTCTGCGGAAAAATTCACCATAAACCATTTTGGACAGACGAGTTCCACTGCTGTTGCCCAATGAGATTACATAGAACCTGAAAAGAACATAAGATATTGTTAGAGCATTTAATTCAGTTTTGCTCTTGTGACACATTCTTTTCTCCATCTCTGGGTACTGTGAAATGCTGTAACAAAACAAACAAAAAAATAAATAAAATTATGAATACCCTTATTCAGCATTTCACAGGTGTAGTTTTAAATTAGGTTGGTTTACAGCTTTAGCAAATCTGAAAGCAGTAGGTTCTGGTTTAGGTCTCCTTTTCACCAGGGTAAAGGAAGACTGCCAAATTCATCTGCAAATCAGTCTCTGTTTCACTACCACACTGAAATTAATAGTCACAAAATCCATGCACTTCAGTTACGCAAAAAATCTTTAAAGAGAAAACTTATCAATCAATCAATTTAGGATCAAACTTTTGAGCAGGTTTCTCTCAATTACAGTTTCAGCTGAGTTGTATTCATTTACATGATGTTGCAATTTATAATCCACTAATTCAAATGTTATTTCCTTGAATGTAGACTGCAATTACTTTTGCTGACGATTCATTTACTTCTAAGGTGATCCACACATCAGCATTCTGTGCTCTTGAAAACATATCACAACTTCTTTTGAAGATTTTCAATTCCTGACTTCAGAATGCTGTGGTACATATTTGGATATCTGCACTCCCTCAGGTATTTTTCTATCTCCTTCCTACTCACCTGAAGTGTCACAACCCTCTTACAACTTTGGTCAGTTCCAGAAGCAATTCCTGTTCTGCCACAGCCTAGCTACAACCCTACAGCAATGCTGAGAAGTTGGAAATGTCATCTCCGGAAAAGGGGCTTTCAGAGATGGAACTTCCACAGTAATTCTTCCTCAACAACTAACTGTGGACACCTGCAGATGGACAGATGGGCATTTAAATGTTTCTGTATTTTACTATCAATATAATAAATAAATATAAATATAATTCAGCTAAAACTGAATTCAAAAGGCAGTTACAGTTACTAGTGAGTAAGTTAACTTTTACAGAACTGCTTTCTTGCTTTCCTTCCAAGAAGAAGCTGTTGTAAAGCCAAAACTGGCAGTTCTTACACTTGCCATCAGATTATATGTAACCTAAGATCATGAGGAGAGCAAATGTTTTTGATCTCTGACACTTAAACACTAATTGATGCACACTAAGCTAATTTATTTCAATTTAGTATGGAAATCAATTCATTTTAAATGTGACAAGATAGTATCAAAATTCTCCTGTCCTAAAAGAAGACACCTTATGGTGTCATGCTCAGCATGTAGAGCTGGGGGAAGAAGAGGGAAAGAGAGGTGACACTCAGAGTGATGGTGTTTGTCTCCCCAAGTCACCATTAAATGGGATGGAGCCCTGCCTTCCTGGGGATGGCTGGACACCTGCCTGCCCATGGGAGGGGGGTCAATGAATTCCTTGTTTTGCTTCACTTTTGCTTTACCTATTGAATGCTTTTCATCTCAACCACAACTTTTGCCATTTTACCTCTCTGGTTCCCTGCCCCATCCCACAGGGGGTGGGTGAGCATGGGATTGAGCTGCCAGTTGAGATTAAATCACGACAACATAGAAATGATTTTGCACCTTTAGATTTAGTTTGAAGGCAGGTATTTGCTAGCTAATAGAGTGGTTGTAAGACACATTTACTCCAGGCATTTCCCAAGGCTTCAGCTCTTAGGAATCATTAAGAGGTCAAATAAGACCATTGATCTCTCCTCACAGAGGAAGGGCAGCAAGACTCATCTGATAAACATCACCACACTTCACTCATGATCTAGAGCCAAGCTCTGCTTTATAGCACTATAAATAATAAAAAAAAGACATAAATCTGGACTGGGGTGACTGGAAGTCAAAGTATATTCAGACCCAAGAAACCTCTAGTTATTGATTCATTTTAGTCAATAAAATCTCCACTTCAAGCAAGTCATTAACATGAGAACCCTGACAATATAAGTGAGCACTATAAAAACCAGGCAAGATCTCAGATCATGGAGTCATGGACCAATAGAATGGCGAGGGTCAGAAGGGACCTTTAAGATCATCTCATTCCCTCTGACAGGGCCAGGAACACCTTCCACTAGACCAGATTGCTCAGAGGTCCATCCAACCCAACCCTAACAATTCTGGATGAAGTAGGATGAGACATCAACAGCTTCTCTGGGCAACCTGTGCCAGTGTCTCACCAACCTCACAGTAAAGAACTCCTTCCTAACACCTAATCTAAATGTACCCTCCTTCAGCTTAAAGCCATTACCTTCCTGTCTGGGGGCACTTCTGATCATGACAAATAATGACAAATACAAAGCAAGTTTTACTCAGAAATAACTAAAGCAAGAACTTAGTGCCCAGTAAATTCTTAGTACACTACACTGACTTACAGTTGAGACAGCAATATAAAACCATATCAGTGATGCAGATTATATTCATAATGGTGCCTCCATGAAATTGCTCTGTATGATAAATTCAGTGGGCAATATTTTACTGCTTTATTTTGAGGGTACTGTAGTCATAATTTGTGCAAGATACAGAAAGAAAGTGGATCTTGCTTAGTAAGACCATGGTCCAGAACCTGCTTAATGTGTTACTACTATGAAGTGATTTTTAGACTACAGAAAGAATGTACAGGAAAGATTCACAATAACTGTGTCAAGAGGAGCTTGATCATCTGAAGAATGTGTTGTTTGACTTGCAGAGACCCTGACTCCTGAGCCATGGACCGGGACATTTTTCTGCTAGTTACTATCAGAACAACTTCAACAAGTGACTCAAGCCACAGGGCAATGACAACTCCCGTCTCAGCACAACTTGCTCTCTACCTAAGGAAACCCTTCACTCACTCAGGAACCTTTTTTTCCTCAAGGGTAAAACTGTGTTCAGCTGGAAATGATATTTTCCTGGAGTGCCAAGGCCTATATCATGAACATCCTAAGAACACAGAACTACCACAAACTTTGCAAGTCTCAACTTGATGTGCAACATTAACCTCTCTGACCTTCTTCAAATATAGATAACATAATGAACTGGAAACCATTCCAAATCACACAATTCTTGCCCCGGAGAGAGTATAACAGAGCAAATAAACACATACCAGATGTTAGTTACTTGTTTGCTTTAATTGTTTCAGCTGTTTCAAGGAGCTACTGGCTAAGAATTCATATAGAATAGAAAATGAAACAAGACACAGAAGAAAGAGGGTAACTGGAAGAATGAACATTATTTTCCAAGATAACGAAAAAAACCTCCAACAAATAGAAGTTCCAAATGTTAGGCTTCAGGGCTAAATAAAAACCAGTCATTAGGAAAGCTGTGTGAAAAGGACACAAACTTTAGAATAAAAACCAGAATGACAGGATCTTCCCAGTCCAATTTGGAAATGGGCTCTAGCCAGTGCTTCTGCAGTCACACATTGTTGGTGAGGACATAGGCCCATTGTTTTGGAAGGGGAGTTGCAAATTTCTGGGCTTTTAGCACGCTGTGAAATCCCTAAAGCTCTCAAAAGAGGAGTCACGGAGACAGTTTGCAGATACAGTCCCTTTGAGACAGCTATGCCACAGATGTGTAACACATCGCAAAGTGCTGTGGTTTCCAACCTCCTCTGGAACAAACCACTAAGAGATTTTTACTGACCACACAGATCCTCATACTACACATTTATTTGTCAGCAAAGTTCCTCTTTCTCAGTTATGTTTTGCATAGTATCTGCACAAAGTCTCCATTCTCTGTGAGGTCGTACACCACAAGCTTCAGGATATTTTTTTTGATGAGTTGAATTTTTGAGCATGGTACCACTTTGGTACCACTGGTAACGCCAAATTGGGGCAGTTTCATCTTTTGTTAGCATTAATCTGTGATTATCCAGGCACAATAGAAAGGAAGTTCAACTGGTTTACAATGGTTGTGCTCGGCTATTTAAAATACTCAAAGAGAGCTCATGCCTACAGATTTTCTACCAGTTTCTTTCAAGGCTATGTTGTCTTAGCCTCACCTCCTCCTTCCTGCACAGTTACACTCCATAAACCTCTCAAGATTAAGTTCACATTTTAGCATCGTTTCCTCTAAGTTGAAGGAACATTAATTAAAGGGCCTAGTCCTGCTCACAGTGAAGTCACAAGGGATGTAACACTGATGTAAAACTAAAAGAGCACACAAATCCTGGTAACTCTACAAAGTATTTCCAGAGCTCAAAGACATTTTTTTCCCTAAGGAATCTGATGATCTTGGCAGATTTCCATTTTAGGGTTCCAAACTCAGGAAATTCTGCTGTGAGTAAATTCCCCCTAAAGAATCTTACTTTGACACTCAGCCATGCCCAGGAAGCAGATTTTGTCTCCTAATGATGCAGACAAGCACTCGGGCTGTTACTTCTGCTAATTTCCCCAGAATTGAGAGCTTCTACCAATCATCCAAGCTACACACGTGCAGATTTTGACACCAAGTGCTTCTAAAATGCTGTGGATAACAAACCAAAACAACCTTCAGCTCAGGATCAACATTTCACTGATTTTTTAAGTGTTTGAATTTCTCCACTCATCATAGGGCAAACACTTGTCTAATGCACCACCTAGAAGTACTGCCTACATTTTCTGACTCACTGAGCAGAGAAAAACATTTAAATGCATGTATAATTTACTTGATCAATCACAATTAGGGATTTGGACTGAAATCAAGTTAGCATGACTTAAGTTGTTGTCTGTCAGCTGGACAGTAGTAACTGCTTTAGCACACTTAATTAAGCCTGGAAAAAAAGTAAGGTAATACTGGCACAGCCTCTTTCACTATGATGTAAGCTGCAACATTCAATTCATTGTAATACTTGACACAACTAATTGCAAAGTCATTCACAGACTATGGAGGTGGAGGTTAACTTTAAAAAGTCATCTAGCACAAATAGCAAGACCATCTGAAGAAACCACTCTGTGGTTATGGACACTCTGTGAGGCAAAGAGGATAAATTAATCAGCTAAATTATTTTCTCAGCTGGAATTTATTTTTTTGTATTCCACTGGCAGTGCCATCCTTTATCCA